TTTTTAAATCAAAGCTCAAACAGCCTTGTGCGATCTTGACAAATTCTTTTTCGAGCAGAGGTACAAAACACTTGCTTTTTGCTGTTTTGAACCTTTGGAGAAAACTTTCTGCCCATTCATTTGGTATTTGACGTAGATTCGCCAAATCAGCCAAAGTGACTTCAGACTCAGTTTTATAAAACTGAGCGTGAAACAACTGTTCCAGTTGTTGCCATGTTTGAACAGAGTTCGCTGACAAGTTGATGAACCAGGAGAAAACTACTCCTGTTAACGAACTAGGGAAAAGTCTCATTTTATGGTAATCGGTTACATCACCACTTTGCAACGTGAATCGCCCTATGTGTTCTAGAGTAGACACCTCTCCTAAACCGGTAAACAGTGAAAATTCTGGCACTTTGTACCCTCTAGGCCATGGATATGCTTGGTCTACCCAATCAGGATATGGTTTTGTATACGTCAGCCTAATGACAGGACGCACCACAAAAGCCATCTGATCCTGCACGATTTCCATAATCTGGTTCCTCAACATGACATTGAGATCATATGGAATTCCTACAGGCTGATTAACCGGTTGATTTGCATGAGGTCTGATGTTTGGTCCTTGATTGGCAACAAAATTACCATAATTAAGACCATTACCATTAGCCTGGATATCTGTTCCCTCATTACCATGTGGAATATTCTGTCCATTGTTTAGGACATTATCTCTCACGTTTGGACTACCCCCCAAGTTAGGCATGCCGCTACCATTGTTTTGATTTGGCACTGTAGTACCCCCTTGGTTTGAAGTAGAGGGGCCAAAAAGCGGTTCTACCCCTTGATTTGGATTTAGGACAGAGGGATTATGTCCCACAATTGTCCTGGTTTGAAAGTGGTTTGTAAGAGGTATAGCCGATTGACATATTTGGCCTACTAACTTATTCATTGTTTCGTTTAACGTCTTTAGCTGTTTGGCCATATTGTCATAGTGTGTATTTCCATTTTGTGTAAATCTTTCCATATTATGAATACTTCGAAGATTTACCTGTTCAACGACGTCTTGTGTGAGTTCTCCAAGCAATGCACGCATGGTTCGAGGACTCAACTCCGTCATTGGTTCATAACGACTGTTACTGCTTTGATTTTGTCCATCTGTTCGTGGAGAGGCATGCTGCTCCTCATATCGCTCGATTACAAACTGGATTCCTCCCTGACTTGCTCCTTCCTTGTTGGATCTCTGAGGCATATTGTTTCACCTTTTGTACTTTCAACACCTAACACCACTGTCCCACTGGGCGTGCCAAATTGTTTCGCGCGGGTTAAGTCGCTAACAATTAAAAAGGATCAGACGATTGTGTAAGGGACAAACCTCTTGAGACAAAGTCTCAAAAATGGGTGTTCTTTTATTGGCGATGAACTTTACAATTAGAAATGAAAAACAACGTGCCTCCAAGGGGCGCAAGCACACGAGTTACAGAAAGAAAAGTGTTTAAGTCTAAAAACTAAGGAAATGAAAATTACATATTCTCTGTTCGAGAATTTTGGATTCGGGTCCTTTGCTTCTACGTCCTTTCTCCCTTTTATAACTCATAGACGATCTCTTTGTGATTAACTACTCTAAAAACTGCTTGATCGTTCTATAACTACCCACTTTCTTCGTAGTGGCCATTTTGTCATGAAACTGCCTTTTAACTGCTGCCATTACCTTTCATCGTTCAACCGCTTTCGATTGAATTCCTTGAGTCGTGGAACGTGATAGGGCTACTTTAACAACTGCCTTGATAATTGCATTTCTTGATAACCACGATGCGTTATGTCTGTTGATACCTTGGGCGACTTGAAAGTTTGGGCGAGAATAGAATAACAGCTCTGGGCGACCGTATGACACTTTATTCGTTCAAATTCTGGACGACTTGCAAACTTGGGCGATGGCGTTACCGCATTCTTGGGCCCCTTATTTGGGCCTTCACCTTGATTCGTTCGATTGGACTTCGTTTTTTGGACTATTTGATTTGGGGATCCTCCAATTGGGCTTTACTCCTTGGATTGTTTGATTTGGGCTGAATTTTTATGTGTCAACAGAGATCAACCCAAATAATTACTCTGAATTTAATTTTTTATTATTTTTTATTTTTTATTTTTTTTATTAGAATTCGGGTCTATAAATACGAAAAAAATTTCATCAAAAACTCACAATTCAATTTCTTTTCAACATTCTCCTGTATAATCTCTGTACTATCTAGCCACGGTTACTTAGCAATATAATTTTGCAACTATCACTCTCCGAATTTAACAATATTATCACTCTCTTGATTTCACAATTTCATCACTCTCTTGATTTCACAATTTCAACGAAGATAATATTTTTACGACTACTTATATTTTTGTTTTTGCGTTATTTTACCTTATTTTACGTAATGGCTAGGCCATCATCATATTTTTGGAACAAAGATAGTTATATAGTTTCTTATCTAAGTTTTCGAAGATTCAATGAAAAGGCTAGCTGTGTTATGATGTTCGATAAAATGTAAGAATAATATTTAAAGTTATTTTTTCTAAACTAAGGTTTGATAAAAGAAATTATTTGTTATCAAACACAATATAATAGATTAACTGATTTGTCACGTTGCACAAATAATTGCACATTCTTTACAAGAATTTAATATGATTAATAAAATATTTAGTGTATCTTGTAAACCGTGCGTGGTTAATCATGTTGTTTTACGACGTCTAAAGTAATTAGAATTTTCTTTTCGATCTGGTAAGGGTTTTGCATATAATTCTTTTTAAGTGTTTACAATCCATGATACAATCAAGTGCACATGTCATATACGTTATTTCAGGTAAATTAGGGATGAAAATTTTGAAATATGAAGGTGTAAATTTCTCCTTAATTTTTCTTCATATTCCCCGAAATATTATTAGTGGGTTCAATTTTATTTTTTCAACTTGAATTTCAATCGAAATTATAATAATCTATTTTATTTTTCATTTTAATGAAGAAATAATGGCTCAAATAAGACCTTATATTTTATAAAATATATTTTCGTCTCATGTGAATGTGAATTTCATTTTCCCAATTTCAATTTTATTATACATTGTGTAAAATATTCTTTAGCCTTCTTAACGTGTATGGGTGAGGTTTCTCCACTATCACGTGTACGTGGTGCGATGAGAAACACATTTAAAAATATTTTTCGTCTTGTACGAATTATATTTTTCCTAACTATAATGTTTGATCCCGTCTCAAATTGTATGGGTACGAAGATTGCTTTCACTTGTATCAAAATAAAATAGATTATTCGTCCAAAACAAATATATTATTGCTACAAAAAAGAATTATAAATTGTGCAATTTGTACTCAAATTCGAATTACATAGATTTAAATTTTTAAGATTCCGAAATGTATAAAAGCAATATGCTTGCATTCCATTCTGCATACACCGAGCACACCGCATGACTTCGCTCCCAGTTTTGTCCACAGTTCGTCTTCTTTCTCGGCTCCCTTCGTTCACACATTTTCACATCTATTTTGGGTTGTCGGGTTTAACCATGGAATGGCATAAATATATTTCTAATTTGGTAACCAAATCTCGCCTAGGCCTAGCACCAAATCGGAAAAGTACGTAATATGATGGACAAGGGGAAAGGAAAAGTTACTGATGAACCATCTAACTAGTGCGTTTGCATTGATGACAGTGTGTGATTCATCATCTCCACAATATAGAGCGCAAGAATCAGTGCAACACCACCGTCGCCAAGTTTCTAAATCCCTCTTTTATGTTCTTCAGTCTATTTTGATCTTTATATGCATATATTGAAGGCAATATATGATTAGGTTTAGGGTAAAAATATCGAGATGTTCTCCTATTTGTTTCTTAGTATAATTTAACATGTTTGTGTGATTTGAAATTGTTTTATGTTAACAATTTTATAGCTTTCAGATATATTTACAAAGAAAAAAAAAAAAAAGGAAATTTGTGAAACTCTAATAATATTTTCGTTTGTTTATTTGTGCTTATATGTGTTAGATGGTCTTGCCGATTAATGATGAAACTATTAGAATTGCTTATAACTTTATTGTTACTAGGTTGTGTTGCTTAGATTAGTTTTACGCTTATGAATGTGAAATCATGATATACTTTTGAGTACAGTAGTCGAGTTAGTTATCTTAAATTTGTGTATATTGAAGGCAATATATGATTAGGTTTAGGGTAAAAATATCGAGATGTTCTCCTATTTGTTTCTTAGTATAATTTAACATGTTTGTGTGATTTGAAATTGTTTTATGTTAACAATTTTATAGCTTTCAGATATATTTACAAAGAAAAAAAAAAAAAAAGGAAATTTGTGAAACTCTAATAATATTTTCGTTTGTTTATTTGTGCTTATATGTGTTAGATGGTCTTGCCGATTAATGATGAAACTATTAGAATTGCTTATAACTTTATTGTTACTAGGTTGTGTTGCTTAGATTAGTTTTACGCTTATGAATGTGAAATCATGATATACTTTTGAGTACAGTAGTCGAGTTAGTTATCTTAAATTTGTGAGTTAATTACCTTGATATAATAGGTTGATTGAGCTTTGGACATAGGTTATCAAAAACTAAGACCATATCGTGTATAACACAATTCATTAACCACTTGAAATGATAAGGGGGCCATTAAGTCAATGTTAAGAGTTATTGAGATATGTGCTAAATTTGTGCTTGTTTAATACTTGAGTGATGTGTTGTGCTTAAATGGAGAATCGAGCAGTCTCGATCTGTTATTATTATCTAGCGTTCCAGCAAGTATGAGATCGATATTTTAGCACCATCACACGTGATACCCTTAAAAAAATAATAATAATAAGTTATGGCAAGTTATAGACATCAATTTCATTCTTGCTTCGTCATTTAATAGCAAATTTTAAGTAAAAGGTTGACAATATATAGATTTGGTCAGAAACATTAGTAAAAGATTCTTGTGGCTGTCAACAAAGGCTGAAGAATTACAAGTTTTGTCTCTTATTGCTAGTCCACAAAAGCGTGTGTCTTCTTGACGGGTTTGCGTGGAAACTCTAGAGATGACAACGGGTTGTGTCGGGTGTTGCCCCCATCTCGCCGAGTAATTTTTTGTCTCGCACTCACCCAATTACTCGTTCAAGGTGGGACGGTTTGAGATTTTGTCCTGTTTACTATCCCTTATATATATATATAGTTTTTGATAATTCATTTTATTGCCTCCATTTATTAAAGTGAGACAATAATATATTTATTAATTTTTGAAATTTATTTATTTATTTATTTTACAAAGTTTAATTATTCACATATATTTGGCAAACTAATATTTTTATTGTTTGCCATATTTCTTAGATAATTTTAGCTGACGTCTTCTACTAAAACTAATGAAATTTCGTAGAGTTTTTCATTTAAAGCATTGAATTCTTCAAAAAAAATTAAAATGGGCAAGATAGGGCCGTTATTACCTATCCTCGCCCTGATTAAATAGGTAATCCTCGCCCCGTTCGAGGCGAGGCCTCGCGCGTATCGGATTTGGCAGCTTTTTTGCCATTCTTAGGAAACTCAAAAGCCATAAGAATTTATAAATGGTTAATATTTTATGTCTATCCATTTGACATGTCTTTTGACAAGTTTGGAAAAAAAAAATAATAAGATTCAAAAGTTACTTTTTAATTCGTTCGATTACCTTTATGAAAGTGTTTTTTTCTAATTAGAAAGATTTTTAGAGAAAGCTAATCTAATATAACTTTCTCTAAACGTACTTTTAAAATAGAAAGCTTTTTAAAAAAATTAGATTTTAAACAAAAAAAATAAGGTAATTTCCTTCAAAAACCCTTCTACAAGAAACAAAAATAAAAATAAAAATAATGCCAAACGTTCTCTAAAAGTATGGACCCATGAAGTTTAAATTTTATTATTAATGTAGATATGTTTTATTGAATCATCGCATCTAAAAATTAGTTTTTAAAATTGACTTGACATAAACGAGATAATTATTTTTTGTTATCGATTTCGAAATGATGCTATTTTAAGTGAAGATGAGTAGAACATATGCAACTTGTTTTACGTTTTATTAAATATATTTTTATTTTTGTCCCCTATGAATGTGAATTTCGTTTTCCCAATTTCAATTTTATTATACATTGTGTCAAATATTCTTTAGCCTTCTTGCCGTGTATGGTTAGGTTTCTCCACTATCACATGTATGTGTCGCGATGAAAAACAGATTTAAAAATGTATTTCCTCCGTGCCAATTATCTTTTCCTGATTATAATGTTTGATGCTGTCTCAAATTGTATGGGGCCAAAGCTTGCTTTCACTTATATCAAAATAATTTAAATCATACGTCGAATACAAATATATTATTGCTACGAAAAAGAATTACGAATTGTGTAATTTGTTCTTTGATTAGAATTACATAGATCTAACTTTTTAAGAGTTCGAAATGTATAAAAGCAATGTGCTTGCATTCGATTTTGCATACATCGAGCACACCACATAAATTCGCTCGTGACTTCGTCCAAGGTTCGTCCTCTTTCCCTTCCCCATTCGTTCACACATTTTCACTTCTATTTTGGGCTAGTATGTAACTATCGAATGGTATGAATATACCTCTAATTTTACTTTTTCCATTTATTTGTAAGTACAATGGCACCAACTTGGAGAGTGCATTATATGACGGACCAGGAAAAAGGGAAAAGCTACTGATGAATAGGGATGGCAAAAGGGGGGTTTGGGGCGGGGGCGGGGGCGGGGCAACTTTTTGCCCGTTTATTTTTTTATTTTTATTTTTACATTTTCAAAATTTTGAGTTATGTTATTATTAGAAAATAAAATACAAACTCAAAATGAGTTTTTAACGGCATAAATTGTCTAGAAATGAAATTATTTTTAATCTTTTTTTTTTTTCCTTCAGGGGGCGGGTTCGGGGAGGGGCAAGGTAGGGCGCCCTACCCTGCCCTGCCTTGCCCCACCAACCCGTTCGGGGTGGAGCGGGTTTTTTTTTACTATCACTATTGATGAACCATCAAACTATCGCGTTCGCATTGATGATAGTGGGATTCATCGTTTCTACAATACAGAGCACAAGAATCAGTACAACACCACCCTCGCCAAGTTTCTATATCCATCTTTTATGTTCTTCATTTTATTTTGATATTTATATGCATATATTGATATCAATGTATGGTTTAGGTTTGGAGTAAAAATATCGAGATGTTCTCTTATTTGTTTCTTACCGCCCTACCCTGCCCTGCCTTGCCCCACCAACCCGTTCGGGGTGGAGCGGGTTTTTTTTTACTATCACTATTGATGAACCATCAGACTATCGCGTTGGCATTGATGATAGTGGGATTCATCGTTTCTACAATACAGAGCACAAGAATCAGTACAACACCACCCTCGCCAAGTTTCTATATCCATCTTTTATGTTCTTCATTTTATTTTGATATTTATATGCATATATTGATATCATACATTAGGTTTGGAGTAAAAATATCGAGATGTTCTCTTATTTGTTTCTTAGTATAATTTAACACGTTTGTGTGATTTGAAATTGTTGTGTGTTAAAAATTTTATCTCTTTCAGATATATCTAAAAACTGAAATTTTGAAAAACTCCAGTAACGTTTTTGTTTGTTTATTTGCGTTTGTATCAGTTAGGTAGTCTTGACGACTAATGATGATACTATTAGAATTGCTTATAACTTTTAAATTGTGATTAGGCTGTGTTGCTTTGATTAGTTTTATACTTGTGAATGTGAAATCGTGATATAAGTTTGAGTACAATAGTCGTGTTAGTTATCATAAAATTGTGTGTTAATTACCTTGATATAATAGGTTGATTGAGATTTGGACGTAGGTTATCAAAAACTAATACCATATCGCATAACACAAGTCATTAACCACTTGAAATAATAGTTTGGGGGTCATTAAGTTGATGGCAGGAGTTTTTTAGATTAGTGCTAATTTTGTGCTTATTTAATACTTGAGTGATGTGTTGTGCTTATATTGAGAATCAAATAGTATAGACCCGTTATCATTATCTAATGTTCGAGCAAATGTAAGCCCAATATTTTAGCACCATCACATGGGATACGCTATAAAAACTCGAAAAAAGAACCCAAAAAAAAAACGGAAAGGATAAAAAAATTGTGGCAAGTTATAGACACCAATTTCATTTTTTGCTTTGTCATTGACTTGCAAATTTTTAAACTGGTCAGTTGACACGTGTCCCCCTATTTTTAATTCATTTATTGACTTTGTCACCGTAGCAAGGCTATGAGAAAATTATTAATATCAGTTTTTTCAACTTTTTTGTAAGTTTAATTGTGTTCATCTAACTCAAAATGTTTGTGTCCGCCATTGGCATCACCTTCTCCGAGTTGTCATGTAGAAGCTAACCCTCCATGGCCTAGCCAAAATACTATAAATTGTTGCAAAAGTGAGGGGCCGGGGGCTAGAGGTCCAGGATTTAGTCCGGCTAAGCTGGGACACCTGGGTTATCAAAAAA